CTCAGGCCTGTCATTGGTGAAATATACTCGCTTATTATTTAAAAACTATTATAGCCTCGACATTTTTGTATTACAATTTTTGTCTTGAAATTTTCTAAAGTATCTGCGATTAAAAGGATATTCGGTGGTTTCAGTACATCCTGCATAATCTTTCTCAAAACGTTTCGACGATCGTATGGAACGAAGAAGAGTAGCCGGGTGATTTCGAAGCTGGGGAGTATCAAGCGGAAAAGCAGCAAATAAGACGGCAATCGTATCAAGAGTGACGATCAACGTCCGTGCGTTTCGTGCCGGGATTAAAAGCCGTTTTCGACGAGGTGAACCTCGTCGCGCGCGCGAGGGAACCGTTTCGACAAACGCGCAGCTCCGCGATGCAGACGAGCGGAAAAGTATCCGTCGATCTCGCGAGATAACGAGTACGCGCTCGTACCGCGCGTTTACCTGCGCATTATCTGCGTTAGCCTACCTGGCTCCACGCTTACCTGGCGAACGTCGGAGATAAAGGCAGGCCGGAGCCCGCTCTCGCCAGTGCCTACCTTCCAGGCACGTAATTGAGCACGCTGCTCCCGGAATAACGCGCCTAAGTGACAGGTGAACACCTTATACGCGAAGCGCGTACCCGTGACAGTCGTACATACGCGCCGCGTGTCCGTCCGACGGTTCGCGTCGCTTTAGAGAGACGAAATATAAAAGCCAGGTACACGGTGGAGAGACCAAAACGTAATCTCGGCGGTACGAGACGCGCGAGATGCTAGGGAAGTGTAGCCGATCAGCGAACAAATATAATTGAGGAATCGGACGTACAAAGCGAAAAAGTACTCAGGTGCGTTGCGATCCGATTGGAACTGAAAGGACCAGAGTGTTCCCGTAGGGAAGGAAAAATACTGTGTTTCGATTGACAGTCGTCGGTCGTCGTGAGTGAAATTTCGCGAACGTGCGTCCGATCCTAAACTGTTTAATCCGTGAACGGTGAATTAAGGTCTCACGGACGCGACGCCGGACGCTCGGCGAGGATTCGGGAAGGATCCCCCGGCCGACGCAACGCCGGCGCTGGGCCATTTTCTCGTCAATCCTCGCTTACTCTCGACGCCCAACACCGACGGGGGTGAATTCCCAATCGCGCGTTACCGTCGCGCATTAAACTCCGTGGGGTAATATATCAGGGAATAAATCGTCGAACGTGTTGGAAGCTTTTATAGGATTTTTACAACGTGCGCGTCCGTGAAATACTGGCATCGATGGAGGGCACGGGAGAGGGGGAGAGAGGGGGAGGGAAATAGAGAGGGGGATGCAGTCGCAAGGGGTGAGGAGTGGTTAAACTGAGTGTAAATCCAGGTATCGTTGGTGTGAGTAGAAAGGGAGAGAACGAGAGAGAGAGAGATAGATAAAAGCGAGAGAGAGGACTGTTCGGCGGGGATGAAGCGTCTGGCTCATCCTGGGGGATGCAGCGTACGGAAGGGGATGCCTGGGTTTTCGCGTGCGTATGGATCCGCCAATCGGGTTTCAGGACCGCCCGCGGTCACCATGGCAACCCCGGGGGTTGAGGCGATTACAAAACGGGGGTAACCCGATTAAGCGTCGCGACGCCGCTCCTGAGGGCGACGTCTGGGGACGTAACGGGGTGGCTTTCGGGAGTGGAGTAGGAGGAAGGGTAGGCCCGAAAGTACGATCTGTCCGAAAGGGGTTGCTCTCTCTATTTGCCCTCTTAATCACTCGTTAAGTGCCGCGACCCCGGTGCCGTCCCCCGAGCACGCAGCAACGAGTTTGTCCCCGCTTTTCTGCCTTTCGATTGGCCAGCGGTGAATAACAACCTTGAGATGGGCCCGAGGGGTGAGGTACTTAATGCTGGCTTAAGGGCGAAATATTTCTGTTTCGCGTGTTGCTTGAATTATTTAGATTCAACGTGGCGCGAGAGAACGCGCGATTCAAGGATTCGCCACAACGCGGTAACTTGGGCTTTCTCTCTCTTTTTAAATTTGCAATAAATGAAATAAAATACTAAAATAATATATCACAATAATTAAGTAATACATTACTTGAGAAAGTTTACAATAATGTATCTTCAACTTTCAATGTTACATCTTGAGTGTTAGACATATGTTATGTTGAATAAATTTCTAACACAATAAATTGATTATACAACGAACTCACGTTATTTATCCCATTCGTATTGTAATTTTCATCATAATGGCCTCGGACCCGTGGAAATCATACGCTCCGTTTCATCTCGCTGCGGAAGTTCACCGCGTCGGAAGCTAATCCGGGTCTTGTCAAAACCGCGCAGCCACCCGAGACGTTAGGCAAACATCCCCGTTTCCACTTTCGATCCACCCCTTTTATCGCGCGCGTGTGTCCTCTCGTGTCACAATGCTGATTTTCCGCGTAGATAGCTTCAAAATGGAGCCCATTCAACCCTTTTCTCACGAACGGCGCGTATATCTAACAGTCAATTCCGGGACAATGGGTCCGATCGAGTTTGCGGCCCCCCCTCGTCCCGCGTTCCGTTCCCCTTTTCTTCCAGAGTCGACGACACGTACCATTGTAACCGGATACTCCCGTTTAGGGGTGGCTCCTTGATACATCGGGGGGGATGACCGGGCTTATAACTAGTTGCCACTTAATTTGGCAAACCTAGCAAGAACGAGGGGTTCGTTTCGCCCCCTGTCTCTCGCGCGGTGGGATTGGCCCGCCGAGATCGATTGGCGGATACGTCGGTATTCGCAGGGGACCGCCACGCTCGAATTACCTCTCGTTGAACGTCGCGTATCTTCCGACGCCATCGGACTCGTCGGAAAATTATCTTCCTAGGCGCATTCCCTCCACCGAAACGATCGGAAATCCTTAACTACACTTTCTCTCGATAGGCCCTTGCTTATCGCGAACCGAGCGTCACAAATTATCCAAGCCCATTCTTTAATAGTCAGCAGCTTTGAACACAATTATTTTATGTTATTTTATATAAAATCGGACCTGCTCTTCCCTCTAAATATTCGTTCTTTTATAAATAGAGCACAGTTCCAACTATAATTGCACTGCGTACTATTTTACACTTTTGTACAACCCTTTGTTTGAGATCATTTTATTTATTCGTCTTTTTGGAAAGGGGCAATTTTCAAGTGCACATCATAAATCACAATCGGAATTATCGCGTTCATGTTAGATTCTTGAGGAAACTAACCGCAGCGGAATCGTCGATATGTTTCAGGTGAAAGTATGGTTCCAGAATCGGCGGACAAAACACAAGCGAATGCAACAAGAGGAAGAGGCGAAGGCCCAACAGCAGTCAGGTGGTGGAGGTGGCGGTGGTGGAGGCGGAGGTGGCGGCGGCAATGGAAACGCCAACAACAATAGCAACAACAAAAACACTCATCACGTTAGCAAATGGCAGCAAGAGACTGGAGACTACCATCATGAGGAGGACGAGGAAGAGGAACACATCGATCCGGAAGCCGAGGAGTGTTCGAGTGGCTCTGAAGCGTAGCTAGACGTTCTATGCCTGGACTAGGGTCCAGGAACGAACAGATTGTCCTAAACAGACTCCTAGGTAACTCGACGATCGAGGTGGAAGGTTGAGAGGATGAGAGGTAGTGTCCGGCTTTTCCGAAGACACGCCTATTTATTACTCTGATCAGCATAGATTTGTTCGAGTTTCAGCCAAGTGTCGAAAGACGCACTCTGAAATCGCAACGATTTACGATCGTGTTCACGTACAGGAGGTTACGAACAGTGAGTGAATTCTCATGGAATAGTGATCTTCGTATCGAGTTACGGCCGAGGGTACAAATCCCGTTACGAAATAAAAGTCGGAAGTTTCGGAGCTGGTCGACGCCGGTCGTTCGACAGCGACCGACAACGGTACAGTACTTATCATATTACGACTGAAAGTCGACCAGATATCGCGTACATGAGAATGATTGATGGCAGTTTTAAAGGTCCTGAAGAGATATCTTTTGGTCGACGTGATTGCGATAGAGAATTTGTAAAATTCTATTCCGAATTGTCGGATGCGTCGACGGAGTAAACATACTATTGTAGGGTCTAATCATTTTGATATTTTGGAAATATACATATTTTATGTATTTCTAAGTATAACAGTTGAATCTGAAATAACTATCAAGTCCCATTTCACGATTAACTATTTGTGCTGGACTGAATTGACTTCACACACACATACATAAATATGTAATATATGTATTTCAAAATACACAAAATGGGGCTCGGCCCTTAAAAAGGATTCTATATCGCATGTTTATTCGTCGATACGCGACGCTACGAGAGGCAGGAGTGTCTCTTGCTCTTTTCTTCGTTTGACCGGAATCACGATATAGTTCCTCGGCATTTCAGTTTCGCAGCGTTGCCGCAGGCCAAGGAACAATCGCGGAAATCCGTAAATATCGTCGCGATTAGAGGGAACGAGACGTTCTCAGGCCAAGACCATCTTATAACGGGTTCGGAAGAAGCGACGGAGAAATCGAAGGCGTCTATCGGAAACCGACTAATGGAGGCATTGTTTGCCGGAGACGACGGAGCTAAATGGACGCGTTTCCGGCGGAAAACGGCGATGCTCGTATCAAGAACGATCGATGCCAACTTTAATAGCGCGGATCATTTTTTGGTTGACTGGTCGAAACCGTAAACATTTTTGCGATCTTCGGGGCAAAAGTACTTTTCATTTAACCCTTTGTTGCATAGCGATTCCGAACGGGAGCACCTATTTCCTTGTAGCTTTTCTACGTTTTTACGTATCTAATAATCGATTTGTGTGACATATTTGATAGAGGTGCAGGTTCAAATCCTGGCGGAGGTATAATATTTTTCGCAATAAGATTACTTTTCTTCTTTGAAGGGGAATGGTATAGAATGTTAGTTGGCGTCAATACATTCATTTGTCTAAATATCATTTATTTAAAAGTATGCACTGTTCCACCAAAGAAATTGTTTTAAGACCGAAAGTGCTCGGCACGCAGGACGTGTTGCAAACGGTACATAAAAATTCACACAATAAACTATTGGACTAACTACTTACTATTGAATGTGTGAATGTAGTTAAGGAACGGGAATAAAAAGTTTAGAAATCACATGATGGTGGAGTAAACTGCGTAAACAGAAAGTACCAGTGAAAACGTTTGCGGATAAGATTGCAACGTGGATAAGATTGCAAACTAATTTTTTAATTAACTTTAACTTTTTAGTTGTTGGTCCGAAAACAACTGACCACGCTGAAAGAGAATGTACGGGTACTCAAGAAAGCGAAACTGAATGAAAAGAGTACAGGAATTTTTCTCTCGGAAGGAAACCTCCCGGTAACCTCCTGGGAGCATCTCGTCCCCTCTATACATACGTAGAGGAGAATCCAACGCCCAAAAATGGAGTTTATCTCTGGTGGCACAAGCCAATGCACACTGGCCAGTCATTTTAAGAAACCGACTCCTTCCAGATAAAAGCACGTTGATAAGCATAGAGATTTCTGGAAGAGACTGGGTGAAAAGTCCAGAAGTGGACTGAAATAGAATTCAATCAATTGGCTGTGAAAGAATCCGTTGTGTTAATTTTTCAATTTTGCTGAATTCAGATTTGAAATTAGCAGCCCTAACCTTTATATAATTTATATAATTCAACAAAAGATGTCCAACAAAAAGATTTATGCAACAAAGGGTTAACAGTTTACTCTTTCTTACTTTCGAAATTTTCCTTTAGGAAGAAAACGGAAAAACCGCTTTCCAGTTAAATAGTTACTTAGAAAGTCGCACGTAATATAGTTTGAAACGATTATTAAACTTAGAAAATGATTCGAATCAGACCAGCAGTTGCTGACGCGGATTGGATTGGGATTGGCGATTGTCTGCTAGCCAATAAAAGCAGCCGGCGATTTAATCGACTCTCATTGGCTAGAGAACAATCGTCAATCGCCAATCCCAATCCAATCCGAGGCAATTACTAGTCTGATTCGGCTTTTAGATGAGGATCGATCGTCCGCTACGATACATCGTTCGAATCGCCGGTCGCCATCAAGGCGCGCCGTTGACGTTCATTGCAATTACATATTTCTTGCCATAAAAAAACAATTCGCCATACAAATTAACTCGCGTCGGGTGATGTAAATAAGTGTAATAGGAAAGAGAGAGAGAGGGAGAGAGCGATCCTGGAGTCGTTCCTGTATATAGGAACATCCTGACGCTTCTCGTTTCGAAGGCGATTGTAAATAGATAGAACTGAGGAGAGTTACACGAGATACCCTGAATACATGTTTGTATGCAGACTCGTAAGTAAAAAAAAAAGACAAAATTTGACAGCAAGAGTGCCAAACTTAGTAAACCTTTAGCGAGAGAAGAATCCAGTGTAAACGAGTATTTGTAATTGTATTTAAGTCGTTATTCTACGCGAGCGAGCAGTATTTCTTTCATCGATGTTTCCAGATATGTATTAAATTATTATTATTAATGTTATAAACCGGGACTCCGTGCGCCATAACGGAGCCGTCGCAGTGGCAGGATATCTCGGAATCGTGATATTGATGTATCGACATGTTAAGTCGGTATTTTAATATTATCGAACAGCGCGTCGCGCCGTGTTACACGAGTCTCACAATCAGATCTTAACTCGATAAGTTTCCTTATTAATTTTGTAGAAATCTCTGTTCCTCTACCTAAGAAAGAGACGTCGAGTTTCATGCAGGAGACACAGGCCAACTCCGCTCAAGAGTCCGACTGGTTGTGGCGCAAGGATTTTCGCTTGTAAATAATCCTGTAAATAGAAAATTGTGATTTTACTCGACGTGCAGAGCCATAGAATTGTATGAATGACTCAGCTCGTGTTCTTTAGCAATATAGTGAAATAAATTAAACTCATGCGAACGTTCCGTTTTTATCTCTCCAGTAACCTGCGAATCCTCAAAATATTCTTTACTATAAAAAAAAGCATAGAGCTGTGCTGTGTGAACTTAGGTATCACAAAACCAAAGGTAACAAAATATTGGATGGGTAATAAGAGCCGAAACGAGGTATTAGGGTGGAGTATACTATATTTCTTAACGATCAAAGAACGAAGAAAGAGTTAAACGCTTCGGTCACCAAAGTGACCCTTAAATTAGGGGATGCTGGAGTGACAACTGAACTCCGACGGGATAGTTTGAAAATTTCAAAGGCATAACGCGATACGAATTAGACTTCAAACCTCAATGTTTTTTATATGAAAATGTTCTACTGTGCAGTCCACACACCGCTCTGGTATTATTTTGTACATAAAAGCCAATAATACGATTTACAAACGCAAAACTGTACGCGACTCTGTCGGTAAATAAAACCACTTCAGTATCCCCTTAAAAGCTTTCATTAACAGCGAAGAATCTCGACGCATATCGGATAACGCGAATTTAGTCGTATGAACAATAGAGCTAACAGTTGGTCGCATTTCGTGAGATGGGCTAATCTCACCATCCCCGCAACCGCAGAAAGTCGGCCTGACACTTCGTTCGGTGTTCGGATTAGACTCGGTGCTCCGTAATCAACTAATGAAAAATAGAGAAAACGAAAGATATCTTTTTTAATGCGAGGAGATAAGAGATGTAGCGAGATCTTTTACAAGTATTTCTGTACGTTGCATACGGTAAAGAAAGGAGGAACCGTTTGAAAAATTTTGACATCTATAAGCTGGCGAATTTGATGCCGGGAACGTCGACTCGCGCTCGTGATTTTGAGACGATAATTCGCGCGTATAATACACTTGGCGTACACGCACCAGACGGGTCCGGCAAAATTGTTTGTTTTCCGCGCGCGGTTATTTCTCGCGCAGCGTATTATTTTAGAAGGCAGTGGCCGCGTGCGAAAAATTGAATAATTTTCGCCGCCGGGCACGTCGATAAGGAAACTCCGCGCCGCGGTAATTCCTGAGCACACGACATTATCGCAAAGGCCGACCGTAATTACCGGGGAGCGCGCAAAGGGGTGTCTTCACGCCGCAAATTGTTTTTCGCGAGGGCACCGTCGGGTCCGCGCAGCCGACAACGTGGGGCCACGACGAGAAATCGCCAGTAGGTATCCATATGCGACCTGCCGCGTCTGCGGGAGCGATCCTTGTCGATAATCGCTTTATAATCGCCGCTTCCAAAAGGAATAATTTACTACGTCGGACGTGGAACTCTCTCCCGTTCCCCCGTAATTAAACACGGCGGATCTCTCCTTTCGTGTCCGGAACAACGGATGTGCGGACGCGGCCGGTGTCGGTAGATCGTACTCGGAGATTCGCTATCATTCGCCATTATTATTTTCGTCGGTACGGAGAGATACGTTATACCCTCGAAAAGAATTTTGCGGGCAGCGGAGAAACAAAAGTTGCCGCTTTTATTTCATTTGGGCCTCTTATTCGCAATGTTTTTTTTTTCAAATTTGGTATCGATTTTTTGGACTCACGTTGTCGCGATTTCAACGAATCCGTCGAGGGAAAGTTTATGCGAGACCGTGCGAGGCTATTGGTTGAGAATCTGGCGAATTTCAAGAGAGTTAATTTCAGGATCTTTCTCATTATCCGTCGTGGTGCGTTTAAATTTCACGACATCGACACGTAGTGCTGTAAGGCAGAATTCATAATTTACTCAATGAAAATTAATAGCACGGTGGTAACGCGACTTGCAGGCCATTATCGATATATTAATCGGCTCATGCTAATGAATTTGTAAATTGAAAGTACGCGCAGTTATAAATACAGTTATGTGCACGAGTTCGTAAAGCTGTACAGGCGAAATAAGATTTCACGAGAAAAATAAAGGAGAGAGGAATTTACGCGCAAAAATAAATCACACGTTAACAACGCGACGTAAAAGTCTCGAGTGAGTTTTTACAGATGCATTTTTTTCTCTCTGCTATTGAGATATCGGATAATCAAGCTTCGATTCCTTAAACAAAATGCCGGCGGCGCATCGTTTAAAAGCATCCCGCTGCTACATATATCCTCTTCAATATAATTATTTAATAAATATCTTCGTGCGCTGCGCAAACGAATGGATGCAGCTACATAGATATCTTCTCACGCAGCTTCGGTATGTGACACGTTTAATGAAGTTTTAACGAAGTACGTCGTACTAATTTATTCCCAACATCTCCATTGCAAATTCTTTCAAAATCACCGTGTTCCCGCGGCTATTAATCATTAATTGTCTCATTGCGTATTCGACGGGGACTAGTTCGACGGACCGGAAAAGGAGCTGGCGATCGCCAAGATTGCCGGACCGATTTCCATGTCGCTCGCTTATCGATCGATCAATTAAGCGGCCAAATTAATCAGCGCGCGCGGCAATCATGGGGATACAAATCGTACGGGTGCTAATGAAGCGCATTAATTGGAATGTTGACTGGAACTCGTTAATTAAATGGCTCGCGGGCCGTGGTAGCCGTCGTGAGGGCGCGCGATCAATCGGATCGATAATTAATAGATCTCATTGTAGCGCCGACTGCTCGCTTCTCCCGATCTTCGCGTCCGCGAAGATTTTCCCGCATGGTTCGGTCTCATTATCGCGGACGCGCGGGTTCGTAATCGCATATCCGCTAATTAACACGAGAAACAAACGTATCGATTAAGCGTATATCTCGCGAGTTCCTACATAAAGAGAATTTACTCTTAAAATCTGGAAATTATGTGATTGTGGGATGCACAATCCCATAGTAATAAATAGGGGTGTAGGCACTAAGACGCGTCACTTATTAATTTTTGGCAAGAAAAATGACGGGCTAGGACTAGGTCAGGATTTGAACCTGGGACCTTTCGCTTGCCGGGCGAATGCTCTTCCGACTGAGCTATCCAGACCCACCCAATATTTTATCAATTATAAACAGAATTCGTATAGAGATAGGCGCATGTTAGAATTTCACAGGTTTATGTACCACAATATCGCATATTGTATGGTCTGCCAATTTGCTCCTCCTGCTACAAATGCTACTGCATTTACAGTTTGCGTACAGAACGTTGGAGACAGTTGATCAAAGATTCTGGCATAGCATTTTATGAGGGTTTTTTGAAATTTTACCATAAGTAAAATGTATGGTAAAATTCTTCGAAATGCCGTGTTGTTTCACGATTACGTGATTTTCAGGATAAATTAGAAGAGAAAATTCTCACCGTGTAGAATTCCTATTTTTCAATGTATTCGTTAAATGTGAAATTACGACGCGGCTGCGAGCGTCAGTCCCGCGATATTACATGCATTTTAAAGCGCTCGATAGCGAGGGACTTCCGCGGGAACGCGCTTTACGACGAGCGATACTCACGTGGAAACTTGATCGGACGCAATATGCGTGATTGTGTTAGATCGACGTGATAAAGTTGTCGCCGTTAGTACACGCGGAATGCTGCGCGCTGTCCCTCGCGCCCGAGCCGATCTTAATCGCGCCCGTAACGCTATCGCGATAACGGAGCGGTTTAAAAAATTATCGTGCGGGCCCTATCGCCGTGTGCCGCGTACATACACGCGGAGCCTTATCGTATTTCGCGTGCCGGTAAATGAGTTAAAATAATACGTTTCATTAAGTCCCGCGGGATTAGTTTCGCTGTTACGAGCGTGCCGGCAGATAAGCGGCCGGATTACATGCGCGCGCAGGGGCGCGAGTGCACGGGGGAGGATACGCCGCATTCTTGCGAGAGTTGAGTTGTTCGCATGCACAAATTGTTGTTCGCCGCGGGGTCACGCGTCAACTTAGCGCCGGCGAGTTTCAACGACGGTCCCCCTCGAGAACGCGATTCACGCGCGCGGATATCGGGTTACCATGTTTTACGATCAGTTATTAAGAAAAGAAAACTGAGGAAACGAAATCTCTCTTCTCCACGTGAAATGGACTGTGTCGTTTTGTTCTTCTTTGCCGTCATTGTTCTCCCACAATTAGGGATTGGGCTTGATTGAGACATATTAAATTTAGTCGCACTGAAGGGTAATGCGGGGTCCGCAATGTGAATCTCAGAGTCGCAGTCGTAAGAATAATCGACTGTAATTGGTCAATTCAATTGGACACGCAAGAATTGACCGATCGTAGTCAACTATTCTTACGGCTGCGACTCTGAGACTCACATTGTCGACCCCGTATAAGGGCCTGAGCGGAAAGATTGTCGTAACCGTTTATGATTCTGTCGTAAGACGTAAGTTAGTGTCAGAAGTCAACGCGCAAAGAATTGTCGTATGTCGCCTTGCGACGCAATGGTACCTGAGCAGAAAGATTGTAAGTGTTTACGAATTCCGTAGTAAGACGCAAGTCGGAAGTCAACGCACAAAGAATTGTCGTAGACGTATGTCGCCTTACGATGCGATAAACGCTTCGAGCGCTGACTTCCGACACCAACTCAAGTCTTACGACAGAATTGTAAACGGAAGTCGGAAGGCAACGCACAAAGAATTGCCGTAGACGTATTTATCGCGTCGCAAAGCGATGTACGTCTATAATTCTTTATGCGTTGATTTCCGACACCGACTAAGTCTCACGACAAAAACGATTACGACAAACTTTCCGCTCAGGCCCATGCGAGGAATGCGACATATGTCTACGACAATTCTTTGTGCGTTGACTTTCGACACCGACTTAAGTCTTACGACAGAAACGGTTACGACAAACTTTCTGCTCAGGCCCATGCGAAGAATGCGACATATGTCTACGACAATTCTTTGTGCATTGACTTCCGACACCGACTCAAGTCTTACGACAGAATTGTAAACGGAAGTCGGAAGGCAACGCACAAAGAATTGCCGTAGACGTATTTATCACGTCGCAAAGCGATGTACGTCTATAATTCTTTATGCGTTGATTT